TCTTTATTTAGTATTGATTTCATATCGCAGTCTTGGCCGGTTCTGTCTTTATTGTGTTTTCCAAGCCGCTCCGTTTTTATCTCTATTCCATTAACAGGTCTTGCTCATCTTCACTGTAGTCTGTAGTCTGTAGTCTGTCTCGGTCTCACTTCCCACAGTGAGCAGTATTGATCAGTATCAACAAACCAAGGCAGTAAAATTAATTCTCCACCCTGCTGACACCGAAAGCGATACTCACCGGACTCATGACACACATTTCAACTTCATGAGTTGAAAGAGTCAGCAGCTCGACAAAATACATGTAGTCATTATGCATTCAAGCCCTTTCAAACCAATTTGACATGGACATTAGAAAGTATACCAGGGGAACGCCACATGGGGTAAAAGATTTCAGGAATAGCAACTCTCTAAAGACTCTTATAACTAGAATCAGACTGTTGTGAATCAGCCAAGTTCCATCACAAATTCTGTTATTTTTAATGTGCAATAGTTTGTCCAAAAATGAAATGTAGTATTTACTCATTCTCATGTTGTTCCAAAAATGCTGTATTTTTCCATGGGACACATTTTTTAAATACTATTCACATAGATCTTTCTTCCAAATCAGCTTCAGTGCTTATTAGGCATCAGTAACATCAAATGCCATAGGCTCTTGAGTGTCTCATAACTTAATGATGCCAAACCTGCAAACATTTATTTTAAAAACCGTGAGCGAGGCGTAGTTTTTGACAGAATTTTCATTTAATGAAGCGTTTTTGTCTTGTGAAGCTTGACAGCCTTTGGTCACTATAAACTGTTGTTGTATGGAAAGATCTATGTGAATATTTTATTATTATTATTATTATTATTATTATTATTATTATTATTTCACAACATGAGGGTCAGTAAATAACAGAATTTTAATGTTTGGGTGATTTATTAATTTAAGTGCATCCATTAGAATGTAATCTTTCTTTGTGAAAAAGAAGTACACTGGATTGTATTAAATGTGCACTTGTAGTGTACTTTACATCATAAAAGTATATTAAAAAACACTGTACTTGTAGATAAAATAATGTTAATGATATAAAAGATCACTTAATTGTACTTAAAGAGAGTTCACTTTCATGACTGCTTCTTAACATACTTAAGTGCACTTTTAAAAAGTGCACTTTATGCTCAAAATTAAATATTTACTTAAAAGTACATTTTAAATCAATGTAAATTTACATTTTAGTAAATATTCATTTAATTGGTATTAAGTGTCTAAAAATATTACATCAGTTTGCACAGTATATTTTTATATAATTTATATATACTGTATATGTGTATATATATATATATACAGATAGAATAGAATGAAATCAGGGCGAAAAGGGTCAGCACAAGCCTGATAATGGTAAAAAATAAAAGTTTATTAGAATAACTCTTTTTTTATTGTGAGTTTTTTTGTCTGAAAATAACAGTGTTAAACAATTAAAATAAATAAAGTGCACACTCTAAGAAAAGTCTGTAAAATATGTCATAAATGAATTCTCCGTATAGGTTTTTAACAGGTGTTTTACCCGTATTTTGAATTATGCCTTGCATTGTGAAGTGTTTTAAAGTTAAAGGTATCGTCTGTAAACTTAACAGAAATTGTACAGATAATTTTCTGCCAGGACGTTATCTGTTTTTCTACGTATTTTTTCATACATATATTGTTTGCTTGGGCTGCACAGTAGAACTGACTGATAGACACATGGGACCAAATTCTGCGGTCAGGAGTTATTTTATTAATATTCCATATAAAACACATTTCTGAGTTCTCTGCTTCTATGACCTGGCAGTAACAGGATCAAAATGAAGCAGGACCATGCAAGAACAGATTCATTATATGCAGGGACATCCATACTCAGTAAAATCTGAAGTGCATGAGGAATGAAACTACAGCAGTAGAGGAAAATCAGTCTGTGCAGATCTCTATATTGCCGTGAAAACTAAAACTGTCTAAGTGAGAGCTCATTTTCAATGCATTTTCAGCATACTGCGAAATATCATCATATGTTCTTGATGTACTTTTTTTTTTGTGCTTTTTTTGCATTTTAATTGACAACTTTTGCAAACCTTGCAAGCTTGCTGAGGTGTTCTAGTTGAAAACCACTAACCTAGAGCTATAAATCACATAACACCACCCTGGCAACCACACAGAAACCCGTGCATTGTGGTGGTGAGTTTTACATGGCTCATGCCATATTTAGGGATTTTATTGAATCAACGTCCTGTGGTGGCGTAGAGTGTCTGAGTGTTGGATATGGTGCAGGACAGCAGACCTGTGTTCATAATCAGAGGGGCTGTTGGGAAGAGCTTGAGGTAGTAGACCATAGCAGATGGACCAAACACATCAAAGAACATTCAGTGGCCAGTTTATTTTATACACACACACACACACACACACACACTTCTAATTTGCATTTTTGTTTTTTCTGAGGAGAAAAACATTCCACCCAAAAAGACCTCTAGATCTAATGCTAAAAGCTTCTATTTTCTGATAAGTGACTAAAATCTCACAATACTGACAGAATTCTGAGTTTACATCCCACAATTCTGTCTTTTTTTGCTTAGAATTCTGAAATCTTTTACTTAGAAATCTTGCAACTCTAATTGTTTTATTATGAATTTTGAGTTTACATCCTCAGAATTCTGAGATTACACAGTACATCTCGCAATTCTGATTTATTACTCAGAATTCTGAGTTTAAATCCCACATTTCTAATTTTTTTATTATGAATTTTGAGTTTACATCCTCAGAATTCTGAGATTACAGTACAGCTCATAATTTTATCTTTTTTCACAGAATTTTGAGTTTACATCTTGATTCTAATTTTTTTATTCAGAATTTTGAGTTTATATCTCACAGTTCTGATTTTTTTTTTTTACTTAGAATTCTGAGTTTATATCTTGTAGTTCTGATTTTGTTAGTTTTTTTACATCTCACAATTCCTACTATTTCTCTGCAAGTGTATTTGGTCTGGTCAGGTGTCTAAAAATTTGGGGGAAATAGTCAGAATTGTGCGATGGAAACTCTCAATTCTGAGAAACAAAGTCTGAATTGTAAGAAAAAAGCCATTTGTTGGGGGGGGGGGGGTGTACTGTGGAACATAAGTCAAGAGAAATTGGCCATGGCTTGTTAAATCACAGCCTATTGAATGTCTCTGCATGGGTTAGCAGAGCTCAGGTGTGCTAGGCTCAGTGCCAGGCGTCAGAAAAGCACAGTCAGTTTGCCAATAATGCGGAGTGCCTGGAAAGAGTCCCATTACTGGCAAAAAGCGTAGTGTGCTTGCTCAGTGCTTACTGCATCAATAATGGGAAAATCTACTGGATAAATGAGGTGTGATTATCTTTTAGCCTTGTTTCCCCTGTGTGGTTTGGCCAAGACTTTTTTTTCCTACAGGTGCTGTGCATCTGCTGCTGACTGCGTTAGCCTTGTGTTCATCCATCAATGATATTTAAACTGTTACATGATGAATGATTAATGAAGTGCCAGTGCAAATTAAGGCCAAATGCTCAATACAACCCATGTGAAAATGTGGTGTACTTAATTGTTTAGAATGTACACTTAAAAGTATATTTAAAAAAAAATAGCAGATAATAGAATTAAATGAAAGGCCACTTAAGTGTAAGTGGAGTTTACTTTCATAGCTATGTTTCTTAACACACTTAGAGCCAGTCCACATGGAGACGCGTTTAGCTGTATACGTAAAAAATTTTGTATCGTATCAGCGTTTCGTCCAGACGGATCCAGCGTTTTGGGAGCCTGAAACCTCAGTTTTTAGTGTATCTCTGTGGCAGAATTACAGCGCCACTTACTGGTCTGGCATGTATACTACATCGTTTTGAGTCGGTTTCAGTGGTTTCGTGTGCACGCAGATATTTTTTGAGACAACGCCGTGTTTATGGAATTGTTTTTTAGAACAAGGGGAAAAAAAGATCGCTCTGGCTGTGTGGATGTGGCCTTAAAAACTGCACTTTGTAATAATGTAAAAATGTAACTAATGAGTTAATTAGTTAACACCAGGAATGACTAATGAAAGCAATCAGAAGAAACAAACAAGAACCTAGGTCAAATGATAGGCAGACAGACAGACAAAGCATACATGTTACAATTGTATTGTACACTCTTAAAAATAAAGGTGCTTCACGATGCCATAGAAGAACCTTTTTTTCTAAATGGTTCCATAAAGAACCTTTAACATCTGAAGAACCTTTCTGTTTCACAAAAGGTTCTTTGTGGCGAAAGAAGGTTCTTCAGATTATAAAAAGGTAAGAAAGAGATGGTTCTTTAAAGAACCTTTGACTGAATGGTTCTTTGTGGAACCAAAAATGGTTCTTCTATGGCATCGCTTGAAGAACCTTTTGAAGCACCTTTATTTTTAAGAGTGTAATGTGTTATTTATTACATTTAAGTAAATATATTTTAAATGTAATAATTAGCAATTTTAATAATTACAAATGAGCAATTAGAAATATATTTAAATACCTGTCATGGAAGTTTCATATATATATATTACAGTATATATTTTAGTTTTTCATAAATGCTTGTCAATACATTGAGCAGTACATCTTAACTATATTTCAAAGGCAAGAGAAGTATTTATGAAATTTCATATAAAGATGTACTTAAGTCCTACTGTAGTGGGTCAAAACAAGCATCAAGTGTCTGAAAACATTACATTTAGTTCCCACTTAAGTATATTATTTTAAAGTACATTATTTATGTAAATACATTGATAATATTTGGAGTAGAAACAATTTCAAAGAAACTGCAAATAACACACTGAATTAAAAGTGGGATTTTGAAGAAAACTCATTTTTTACAGGATACCTTTTTTTTAAAGTATGCAGAAGGATACTTCTTTTTCCCAAGGGAAAGTTTTACTGCTGAAATGACAATTCAGTTTGGGAGTCTGCGATGCACAGCCTGACACACTGGCTTTTTTTAATGAACATCTGACCTAATGTTTGTTTTCTAATCTTCAAAGGGGTTACTGGACTCGTTCAACTGGATGAGAATGGCGATCGGGAGATTGACTTTGCTCTATGGGACATGACCGACACGGGTACAGGAGTTTATCAGGTACAGAGGCCTTCATCTGATCATATACTGTATATACCTCTTCACATTTAAAATACATTACTGGCTAAACCAATCTCACCGCTGCTGAAATGATGGCTGTATGTCCTAGATTGTGTCCGTGTATAATGGCAGTCAGAAGCGGATGATTCCGGAGCCAGGGATGAAGGTGTACTGGCTGAAGGGAAGTCCGCCTCCAGATATCCCACTGTGTGGCTTCAAAAATGACAACCCTGCCTGTCTGGCAAGTGAGTGTAGCCCTATCTAACTCATATTATAATCGACCTGTATGAAAAGACACCAGACTCCACTATATTCAGCCAAAATCATATTCCCAGACATATCTTCCCACGTAATAAAATAAATTAGACTCAAATCAATAGTTCATGTCCTTGCATTTATAAGTAGTCTTTCAATAAGAAAAACAATATACAGTCAGCCAATTCATTTTAGTTTTATTTTAATACTGTTGGCATATATTTTGTGACAATGACTGACTGACTGTACATTATTCTTCACTTATTAATATTTTCCAGAATATATTAAGTGTACATTTGCATACATTATATATAGAAGTAGAAAGTGTTGAATAACTTTTCTCATTATAATTCAGTGTATTGTTTTAAAGTACAATCTGTACTTTATGAAATGAAGATTGTAGTGACCAGTTAATATATATGCAAAAATACGTATGTGTAAGCAAGATAAAACACTTGATTAGTTAGTTAATGATTAATGTAATAATTAAATCAAGGCACGTTTCATGTTGTTTTAATGTAGTTCTGTAATGTTTCTTAATTAAATTTAGGTTAATAACAGATCCAAAAAAAATAGCACACAGCAGTTGATAAATTTTGTGAGAGCATGTGAGAAACTCATCACCTGAAAATGATCCTCAAAGAATGAAAAGACATATTCAAAATGGGTTATTCCTGTTATGCGGAACCATTTTAACTTTTAAAAATTAATATGCTTGTGTTTACATGTCTTTATGTACAACAGGCAGACTGAAATATGCTCTGTTAAAGGAACACTCCACTATTTTTGAAAATAGGCTCATTTTCCAACTCCCCTAGAGTTAAACAGTTGAGTTTTACCGTTTTCGAATCCATTCAGCCGATCTCTGGGTCTGGCGGTAGCACTTTTAGCTGTAGCTTAGCATAGATCATTGAATCTGATTAGACCGTTAGCATCTCGCTCAAAAATGACCAAAGAGTTTCAATATTTTTCCTATTTAAAACTTGACTCTTCTGTAGTTACATCGTGTACTAAGACCGTCTAATCAGATTCAATGATCTATGCTAAGCTACAGCTAAAAGTGCTACCGCCAGACCCAGAGATCGGCTGAATGGATTCGAAAACGGTAAAACTCAACTGTTTAACTCTAGGGGAGTTGAAAAATTAGCCTATTTTCAAAAATAGTGGAGTGTTCCTTTAAAGCTCTGGCACATCAGATTAACTAGAACTTGATTAATTATGGCCGCTGTTAAGGCTGACGTGCTATGATTTCTGACAGGCTGTTCACTCTCCTGTGATGTGACCCTGTTCTCCTCACACACACGCAAACACGGCACGTTACTCTGCGCTGCGCAGAACTCTGCATTTGAAGCGTCAATAGCAAATACTTAAACTAATAACAAAACATACTTACCGTCGCTTATTCAGAAGCGCGAGATTGTCATAGCAAAGTCGTAATTGACCCTTTTTTTTTTTAGAAATAGCCTTTGTGCACAGCCAGCCTTGTACTCTTCTAGGTTCAAAAAACTGTCGTCCATAAAATGCGTTGCACAAATTCGAACATCTGGGTTGTGCTGTTCTGTTGTAAATAAATCTTAACCAATGATTCCTAATTGCATCTACTTTCGGAAGGCCAAATAAAGTGCTTTTGCTTTCGCACTGAATCACACAGCGTCTCCCTGACATGCTGCATCAACACTACTGCTGTTCCTGAAACCACGCCTTCTTTCTTTGCGTGCACATTTGGGCGGCATTATGCTAATATTTCCACATAGTTACGTAGACATGTGGGGGCGTGTTAGATTGAGCCGTTTTAGGTAGGCGTGGTTGACTCTTAGCTTTTATAAAGAATATCTCTTTGGATTTGAGACTTTAGTCTTTGCAACTTTACAGATCGTCTTTATGCACCAAGAGTTGTAACACTCCAAAGAGAAAGGAAAACTTGAAATCGCATCATATGACCCCTTTAAGAAAATTAACAGGAGAGAAATTAAGAGCTAAAGTAAACCATTGGTTTACACAGGGCTGTCAGCTTGAAGTAAATTTTGTAGTAAATTAGCTAACTATACCAAATTCTGTAATTTATTAAAGATTGAAGGAGGAAACTAACGAATAGCACAAAACATAACAGAATTCATCAAATCTAATATTTAATACTTCTGGGATTTTGTCCCTTCCTCGTTGATGATAGCATTGATGAACTAGCTTTTATAAAGGATTAAAAAGGAATGAAATTGACCCTTCACAATCCAGAAACGTAATCCAAAATACAGGCAACAGGTCAAAATACAGGAAAGCAATCCAAACAAGCAACAAGGCAGGAAACTCAGGCAAGACCATGGCGAATGCTCAGAATCACAGAATAACAAAGTGGATTTACTGTCACTGTCTTTACTGTCATTTAATTTGTTCTTGCTGAATAAAAGTATTAATCTTTAAAAAAAATAAATAAATAAATGTACTGACCCCAACCTTTTGGTATCTTGCATTAGAGATATTGCGTTAAAAATGCTAATATCATCTTCAATATGAATGTAAGGACACGCATGATGAAAACATGAAAATGTACTGCATATATTCAGTAGTAGGAATGACCCATCTGATTAAATTTAGTCCTTTGTCATGAAAAGTTCACAATCCAGAAACGTAATCCAAAATACAGGCAACAGGTCAAAATACAGGAAAGCAATCCAAACAAGCAACAAGGCAGGAAACTCAGGCAAGACCATGGCGAATGCTCAGAATCACAGAATAACAAAGTGGATTTACTGTCACTGTCTTTACTGTCATTTAATTTGTTCTTGCTGAATAAAAGTATTAATCTTTAAAAAAAATAAATAAATAAATGTACTGACCCCAACCTTTTGGTATCTTGCATTAGAGATATTGCGTTAAAAATGCTAATATCATCTTCAATATGAATGTAAGGACACGCATGATGAAAACATGAAAATGTACTGCATATATTCAGTAGTAGGAATCTGATTAAATTTAGTCCTTTGTCATGAAAAATTGGTGTATTTTGACCTCATCGTGCATTTGGGGTTTTGTCAGTTTCATGAAGTTCTCTTTGAAGCAGATTTCAAACACTGACATCTGTGGCAGAGAAAGAAAAAGAAGAGGTCAGAATAAAATTATATGTATGAAATGATTTCAGCAGGTCTGATTATCTTACTGCTGTCTGTGTGATCTCTCATGAAATTCAGATGTGTGGAGATGTGTGTTCTTGGTTTTGTTCCTCAGAGACGGTCACCATGCACCAGATGATCTCCATAGTGGTGTGCTTCATTTTTATCATCATCGTAACCGTCACAGTCTTCATATACAGGTCAGTTGAAACCCATGCAGATAAACACAATGTCTATACTGACAGCGAGCGACAAAACTAGAGCGCTTTAATCAAACTTTGATTATTAGACATGATGTAACACTACATGTCAGGTGTGCAAATATCGAGCTTTGGGCGATTTGGGTCTGATATTATATCTCTCTGTCTGTCTGTCTTTCTTTCTGCTTTTCTCCTCCTCTATCTGTTCCTGATTTTTAATTAGGGAACTTACTGCCAGACCACGACAGAGAAAGATATAGCACCTCAGTCTACGTCTCCATGACTTCATCACTTTCACTACCATATGTGACCATGTATCCAATGACAATGAAATGCATATGATTTCTATTAAGTTCATGCCAAGAATTGCAGCCAGTGGTGGTTGTGCTTTATTAAAAAGTCACATTTTCAGCTGTTCTCCAAATATGATGTAGATTCTATAACAGTAATTTAATTTTTATTTAATTGCAATTATTTTTCATAATACTTGCATGAGATTATAAGAGAGCTATTTTAACATTTCAATAAAAACTGTTTTTTTAATGTGTTATGCATGTTTCTATTTACATTTATTAGCACTTTCAGAGTTTTCGTAGCTAGCACGTAGAATATGATGCTATCAGTTCAGAGTGATGACCTGCATATGCTGCCATCATATAAATTGCTCAGTTATAAAAAAAATTTATTACACATTATGATGCATTATTACTGGTGGAGAGCCCCATTCAGCTTACACCTAGCTGGGTTTTACTTAGATATTAAAAGTTAGTTTCACGTTTTACCCAATTTTATCTATTTTATCTGATGGGCTAACAGAAAATGATCAAGAACTCCATAAAGCCAGTAAATTATATTCATTGAGGCAGGATATCAAGAGATTTAATTACGATTCCTAGCCTAGGACATATGGTAGTGACTAACAGTGGAAATAACAACAGTGTTATTGTCATTCTGAAGCATAATCCAAAGACACAGATGGTATATCAATCAAGTAGATTATGTCATCCCTTCAGATATCTCGCACTCACATTAAAGTTGAACAACAGGCTCTCATGGCAATTTGTAGCTATTTTACACATTTTGGAGAATTGGTGGCTAATTGGTATGAATTTGTTTACAGTCTCATTTGTACGTTTCATATGATCTGCTTGTGCCCCACTGACGGTTTAGGGGTTGGATGTCATGCTTTTATTCTAATTGTATACTTTTGTTCATAAGAAATCGTCATCTTGTAAAGTAGTTATGTTATTCTGTGAGATGGGGTTGAGTTGGAGAGCGCTTCTTTAGACTGTCATATATCTGTGCACCGATGATCTTCTTTTTCTGTGACGAATAGCAAATTCTCCAACAGGTTGCTCTGGCAGATGCTGTTGCTCAGTTTCAAATGACAAAAAGTCCAGCTGCAATGTACACATTTCCTATATAGAAAATTATATATGTTTTAATAAGTTGCCTTGTTATTAAAAAGTCCCTGAGATGTCTTGACAAGCCATGTCTTGACATGGGAGACACATGGAGATTGCATAAAATTGAGTTTCTGCCACAAAACTCCAGGTTTAATTTCACGAATTAATATTAAGTACAACTTTTTTTTAAAGTTATATTTATTGGTAAATGTCTTTAAAATATATTGAAATGGTTCAAATTCTATTTTTTAAAGGGGCATTTTGTATAATAAGGGCTCAACACGTAACACCACTGACAAAAGAGGCATTCTCTCAATGGAAAATTATATTCATTTTTAATATTCTCCAGGTATTTAGTGTGGCCTTGTGTGAAATGAGAATGAAAATTTGTGAATTAGATCAATTAATTAATATACCATGGTAAGTTGCACATGTTGATTGATGAATTACATGTTTAGATAGAAACCGCACAGCAATTGTAGAGTAATCCAACTATGTACGGAAAATAAGATTGTTTGTTTTGCTCTGTACTATTTGCATGCCTCAGTCATTATTTGATAATAATCATGCAAATGTTAATTATAAAACTTTCTTAAGTTATTTTCCTCTCAAGGATATTTTATCTGGTATTACATGTGCCATTTGAAAGCTGTTACAGAAATGAATTATTAAGCAACATTGTTAGTACACATTCAGTACACTGTATCCCAGTGCCGACAGTGACACTTTGATTGTCATATTTAACATTTATGCCACATAAATGTTGTTCTCCTTCTCATTTGTTTATAACAATTTTTCATCTGATGTTTTTCCCAGTTGCATCCCATCTCTCATTGTCCCTCTCCTCTGCTTATTTATCCTCTTCTTTCTTTCTCCCTCGGTCTCTTTCTCTGTCCGTCACTCGGCGGCGTCAGGAAGCTGAAGCTGGAGAATGAGTTGACCGCTCAGCTGTGGCGTGTGCACTGGGAGGACATCCAGTGGAGTAACATGGAGAAGGTGCTGCGCAGAGCCTGCAGCAAACTCACCATGTCATTGGTGAGGGGAAACACACACACACACACACACACACACACTGTCATTTCCAATAGTTCCCTATCGTTTGAGTAAACCTGCTCATGTCTTATTCATCCTTCCACACACAGAGAGGCTCTAACTACGGCTCACTGCTGACTATGGAGGGAAACTTCCAGATATATGCCAAGACTGGCTATTACAAGGTATTAAAGGTTTGGTGGTGAGGGGTGGATGGGCCCTGGCCCATGTTCCCTATGTTTCCTTCCTCAAGAGGGAGCTTGACAGCCCCTCCACTCCACTTTGAATCTCAGGATGTTTTTTGTCTTTTATTGGAGACGTTTTTAAGTAAAATTGTAGTTGCCACTTCATTAGCCTTGTTAAAAAGAAGCGTGTTACATTTTTTTACTTCGTCAGAATGGTACGAAACTTGCTATGTGAACACACACACACACACACACACACAAAATTATTCACACTTGTGACCGCTTTGGAAATGAATGTGAAACCAATTTCATCCAGTGGAAACAATTGGTACTGCGCTCAAAAGCTTACTGAGAGCTCATTTTTAAGATATCAACCTCAAATTTGGAACACAACTTGTTTAGATTTATGGCTTTGAATTTTATGCAGGTTTAGAGTAAAACAAGTTTTGCAAAATATCTATTTCATATCAAATTTAGAAATAGTGTTTTTGTGCATTTTTCATAATAATAAATGTAAATATATAACTTTCACTTTTTTTCACTTCGACAATAATCTGCCAGGTGTCTTCTTTAAAAAGACACCAAACATAAGTCTGACTTGAGCATTAAAGATTTATGACAGTTTAGGTCATTTCGTTTTAAAGTCTTTGCTCAAAAAGTGATATAACATGTAATTAGTGGTATAATATATTTTAAATGTACCAAATTGCAACTTCATCACTACAAATGTGTAATTACAAATATGTATTTAAATATATGGCATACAAGTTTCAGTAGAAATTAAATAATATTTTAGTTTAACAAAAATGTTTGTCAGTGAATTCGGCAATGCACTTTAACCATATTTCAAAGACAATAGAAGTAATTATGAAAATACATATAAAGATGTACTTAAGTCCCACTTAACTGGGTCAAAAAGCACTCTAAAGTTCAACTAATTGCTTTTGATATAAACTAAAATTGGACTTCTTTTTCACAAGGGTTGAATTGAAAATAGAGTCAAAACAGTACGTTATTATTTAGATTCATTCTGACCAATTAGAGAAAATATCTGGTCTACTAAGCCCCGCCCACTTCCATATCTGTTGTGTATTAATTACCATTCTGCCCTTTCATTTTATTTCTGTGGGTTGTGTGATTCTGCTGCAGGCAATGTGCCGTTTTGCATGTAAATAAATGACATATCCTGCCTAGCAGCAGAAGTGTCAAATAATGGAAGGGTCCATCTTTAGATCTCCCACAATACCATTGGCGTGCCCTGGCTAATGGACCCATTCTTCATCGGATGTAGTTCCTCTCCAATTAAGCAGAACCCCTGAGGATGAGCGCTATTCATGTCCACATGTCATCATTTCCCCCATTAATTAGGATGGTGCTTAATTAACACATTATGTTGCACTTTTCTTCTCTTAAATGGTGGGGCTTTTTTTTTTTTTATCCGCCCTCCAGCTCTTTGCCAAGCCCACGATAGCAATCAGCCTGAAACTAATGTGCGTTGATGCCTCTTTTTCCAGGGAAACATAACAGCCATTAAGTATGTCAACAAGAAACGCATCGAGCTCACCAGGAGAGTGCTGTTTGAACTCAAGCATGTAAGTGTGTGTCCATGCCATTTTGTGCTTTTTGCCAGGTGCCTTAATTAACTTTATATGATGTCCTGGGAGGTATTAATAGCCGGGGACTGATGGAAAAGAGAGACTAAACAGCTCTCTCTCTTTGTCCTCATGCTGTTCTCCCTCCTCTTTTCCCTTTTGCTCTTTTCTGCTCCTATTATAGATGCGTGATGTACAGAATGAACACCTGACACGCTTTATCGGCGCTTGTATCGACCCACCCAACATCTGTATCCTTACTGAGTACTGTCCTCGAGGAAGCTTGCAGGTGAAAACTCATGCACACCACTGCTCTCAGTTACTGCACCTGCATGGATGTATTAATAGACGGCTTGTGTTTATGCCACCCTTTTTGTTTCACCAAGCAGGGCTTAACAATAAGGATTCAAATTTTGATTTACCTTGCCAGCATTTTCACTGCATGCACAAACAAACTAATAAATAAATACAGAAGATTAAGTATGAAATAATTCTTTAAACTTTTTTTTGTTTGTTTGATTTTTAAATGTATAAAAACATAAATGCTCACAAATGCGAAAATAATCTTTACCACTTGCTTCTTCTACCGTCTTAGACAACATTTCAAGACATAATTCTGACATAAATAATTATGCTGCCTTCTAGGATATCTTCTTCTAAAGCAGCACTGCATCTTTGTATCTTTGAGATGCATTCATGTATCTTTCACACATAAGGCAAACCCAAAATGCAGTGTGATTAGCTCAGCGGAGTGTTATTTATATGCTAGTATTTAGTCATATTTTCAATTAGCTATTCATTTTATATTTTCACTTTTTCAATTCACTTTAATTTATTTCAATGGGGACATCAGATAAAATTTTCACTTATTTTAGCTTTTTATGCATTTAGTTTTCTTGTGTGTCTTTCGGCACAGAAAATATGAAAAGAATGTGTCTTGTGTCGACACGCCCCATGGAAGAGAGGGGTGGGGTAAGCAGTAGCTCATTAGCATTTAAAGAGACATCCACCGAAACAAGCCACTGTGAACAGAGCTGTTTTTGACAAGGTAAAAAGGGTGTTGGTTTACACGGCCTCTGAGGAATTTTAACCAAAGTATGTTGCAGACATTTCATGAAGACCCTAAAGAATCATACCAACTTGTGGAAAATGGGCATCCGATGTCCCCTTTAAATTTTAGTAACTTTGTTATGCTTTATTTATATATATATATGATACATGATTTTTAAAAGATTTAGCTTTAGTTTTTAGTATAAAACGAAATAGCATAATAAAGAAAGCGTAATTTAGCATGATAGATAAATAAATAGATAGATTCAGTCACTTTAGGAGAAAAATATCTTATTTACAAGTTGAAGTACATGAACGTTACCATAAAGGCATAATTATGAGTGGGAAACTTCTGAGTTGGGAGTGTCAGTGAGAAAACATGAGGCAATGGACACAGCCTTTGTATTAATGGTAAATTTGTTTAAATTAATTATTGTTTTTGTTTTGTTTTTCAATTTACAATAATACTATTTAAGTTGCGTGTACGAAATACCATTGCGTTATACAATTCCATTTCAATTTACAGCACCTTCATAAATCTAATAAAAACAAAACAGCAAAAATAAGTTTGATGCACATACTTTATTCATTGTTTTGTTGATGTAGAGTTAAAAATCTTGCTGAATTTTATGTTAAAAGGGAACATCACCTTCTCACTCCAACTTCCTAGGAAGAATGTTCCACTAGAAGACTTTGCACCAAAAATGGCTAGCCCCGCCCCCAAACTAATGCTATTGGTTGAGCCAGTGTTGCTATGTCAGATTGCTAAAACAAACAGCAATCTTTGAAAGCACCACCGTGTTTACACTCTTAAAAGTCAGTCTACAATGGGCTTAGAGTTGTCTCTGCGCATTCAACAAGGATAAGAAGTATTTTAACAAGAAAATTACACACTTAAGCTATAAACTTTGAAAATATAATAACACATAACTGACAGGATGATGTGAGAGAATATAATTAATTCCCATCAACTCTTCTCTCCACATGGACTTTCCTCATGAGCCGTGTGTGTGTGTGTGTGTGTGTGTGACCTGTTAGGACCTCATGGAGAGTGAAGGAATCACGCTGGATTGGATGTTTCGCTATTCTCTGATCAATGACATTGTTAAGGTGAGTGTTTCACATCAGAGACTCTTCTGCTCTTAATCTCAGGAGTGGAAGGAAAGGGAAAGATATCTTACTAAAATATAAATCTTTTACTGCAGCACACTGCTTTGCATTTTTTTAAATATAGTTCTCTGTTAAATTGAGGCTTGCTCATGAGTGACATTTTATTGGGGTGGTTTTGAGACGTGTGTTATTTGTAATGGTTTATGAGGATGTCAATTCCCTGACGGGCGAATTATGACTCCAGAAAGCATATTGCAGTTGCAAAAGAATCTTTAATATTTTCGTGGTTCGGTGTTGGTAAATACGATGGATGCTGTCAGATGTCTTTGTAAGACTGTCATCTTTTCACCACTCAGGGAATGGTGTTCCTCCACAACAGCGTCATTGTCTCCCACGGCAACCTGAAGTCTTCCAATTGCGTGGTGGACAGCCGCTTCGTGCTGAAGATCGCTGATTATGGCCTGGGAAGTTTCCGCAAGGAGAACAACTTGGAGGACATGCACGCTCTCTATGCACGTGAGTACCGTGGCAGCGCATAGATACAGATTGCATGCGTGTGAAGATGTAACATTGATCTTTGCGTTCACAGGCAAGCTGTGGACAGCCCCCGAGCTTCTGCGTGCTGACAACCCACCTGTGTGTGGGACACAAAAAGGTGACGTCTACAGCTTTGGCATCATCCTGCAGGAACTCGCCCTGCTGAAGGGCGTCTTCTACCTGGAAGGCCCCTGTCTCAGCCCTAAAGGTCAGAGGTCACACACAGTACTGTGAAGGTGTAATCAATGGTATTTATTTGTCCAGATCTACTAATTTATTCAAAACTGCATCAAAAATGCAATTCATACATACAATATTGTGAATACAGCTCTTTGGTGATGAACATGTTTTTAATTTTGGAATTAAAATTCATTTAGATTTTTTGGAAGCCGTAATGTTAAAAAATATTAACTGTCCTGATATTATATTGAAGAAAAGCCTCATGTCATGTGCTGCGACTCCCCAAAAGTTGAATAAAATTAATGAATAATATGCATTATATAATATATTATAAAAAAAATTTATCCGTCAATGGTGGCAATCAGTAGGCTAATTTCTATTGAAGAGACCAATTTATATGACAGATTTTAATGTAGGCTTTTATACATATGTAAACATTATTTAATTACCATTATAACTAGCTATCTCACAAATTTTTGCTCACTTATTTTACAGTGGGGTAATTTTGGTGCAGTAGCACGAGATAGCTTGATTTCAAACTTTGAATTGAATAAAAAATGACAAGTAAGCAGTCAGTAATAAAATAAGAACAAAAATAAATTAATAAAGATAGCACAAATAAAAAATAACGACAGGCCTTCGAATTAAATAAATTGCTTTTTAGTTTTTCAGGTAGGTCTAACAGTAGGGTTAAGATATTTAACTTTTTTTTTTACCAATTATCCAAATAATGTTTAGTCCTAGAAAGCTACTATTATCAGAACACATGAGCATAACATAGCTGTTAGCAGATCAATGAATGAGAGGGCAGCTTTACCAGAGTTGCCCATATACCACACCATGTTACAACACAGTAGGGCTATTGCAGACAGAAACAATACTGTACTACATCGATGTTTCCTGTCGGCTCAATTTCTGAGTGGACTTTGCTGTTCCGATTCGCATGAACGGTATACGAGTGGAGCGACTGAGCGGAGCGCACACACATAGAGCGGATAATACGCAGAGCGTCACACCACGTGAAAGTGAAACCTGAGCGGTGAACTAATTTTCGGCGGCCGAAATTTCGGTGCATCGCTAATTATTGGCGACATCAGAAATGGATATTATATAATAGATGCTGCTCTCGACAGATGGCACCCCAGGGTGCCGCGGCACCCCGGTTGGGAAACACTGCACTAGAGGATGCAGCGCGAGTTCCCTCTCGGGGAACCATGGTTACATGCGTTACCCAAAGCGTTAGTTGCCAATGCCACATTTCTACATTTTGTTTAAGTTTAAATATTGTTTAAGTTTATATATGTTTTATCTGAGAATTATCATTCATTTCAGCATTATTTCAGTTACCAATTAAATTAAGTTGCCAATATCAATTAAACTAATTTTAATTTCATTTGAATTAATTAATTGATTTATTATTTAATTTTATTTAACAATAACAACACTGAAATCATCATGAAGAATACAGTTCTATATTTTTAAAGTTATTTTTTTAACACTCTCAGGGAACAAAAACACATACAAAACTGTCACTGTGGTGGTACCTTTTTAAAGAAGTACTAATATGTACCATTTAGGGGTAAATAAGGTACAATGATGTACATTTTAGCTTTTGAGTCTTAATGTACTGCCCCAGTGACTGCTTTGTACCTGTTTTTTTCTCAGAGTGTATTGTGGAAAGTCTTGTTTATCACCAAGTGCTGGGTTTGATGTGACTGATGTCATTGGTACTTGCTTGTTTAATAGCGAATTGCAATAGAAAACAAGATAAATTGTCATATTTGGGTGAACATTCCCTTTTAGTAACAGTCTCTGAAAAGCATCACTTGCTGTTTGATCCCTAGAGAACCATAAAAAATTTAATTTCACACTTTCAAGAGAAGTTTTTATTTGTGAACATGAATATTTCAGCATTACACTCTCACGAGAATGGTTAACTCATTATGCAGGTGAGAGTGCTTTCTCGTTTAGTGCTTTGATGTGAATCAAAACAACATTAAATAAAATGTGTTAATAAGATACAGATTATGCAGTGAATTACCCTGATGGCAGGGGTACTTTTCCATGTCATTTGTCCTTTCCATGTCACCTGTGTTTACATTCACCTCCCCTCTCTCTTGCCCACTCGCTTTGTAAGCGAGATGAAAACAGTTTCATTTGTCAAAGCATTAGTAACAGTGGCCTAAATAATCTTTGCACACTTAAATTGTCATTGCATTAGATAACAAAATATCAAACCAAGTGGCATTTATTTTGAAGATATCACCAGCACACATTAAAAGCTAAAGAAAATAAAAAGACATTTTCTAGGTTTTAACTAAAACACCAGTCGATTAAAGGAATAGTTCACCCAAAAAAAGAACATTTACTCACTCTCAGGCCATCTAAATGTTTGTTTCTACATCAGAACAGATTTGGAGAAATTTTGCATTCCATCACTTGCTCATCAATGGATCCTCTGCAGTGAATGGGTGCCGTCAGAATGAGAGTCCAAACAGCTGATAAAAGCATCTCAAGAGTCCACAGCACAACTCCAGTCCATCAATTAATGTCTTGTGAAATGAAAAGCCGCATGTTTGTAAGAAACAAGTCCATCATTAAAGGGGTGGTGAATCAGCTATTTTCGAAGGCTTGATTGTGTTTATGAGGTGCACTGTGAAATGTGCAGAACTGATCAGAACCTGTACAAGCACGGCTTTTACAGGACGTTTCGGAATAGTATGTTTTTTTGTTTGTAGTTTTCACATACTTTGTAGATACGCTGTTATTTGTAAATGCTACTGCTGTTTATGTTAGCTTTTGATATACGGTTTTATCCTCATTAAAGCTTTAGTACAGCAGAATACATGATTGCGTTGTAGCATTTTTGTAGAGTAATTATTTAATTTATAACAGTAAGTAACACTCTACTACAACAACTCTTCCTCTTCTCAAAAGTAGCCCAACATGGCCTCACCCCCTTTGTTGCATGTTCCCGGGGCAGGGTTTGTGATGTCACCAATCCAGGAAGAAGCTTGTTGTAGTCCCTACCAGCCATGTGTTGTAGGCCTTAAAAAGCAAATTCTTTAAAATAAAATATCTCTCTTTGCATTGAACTTTGAGTGTCATAGCATCATACAGATGTTGTTTATGCTCAAACAGCAACATTACACACTAACTAAAGTTAAAAAAAAAGTGAAACCATAATCAAGGACCCCTTTAAGACATTAAATCATTGACTGGAGTGGTGTGGATTATTGTGATGTTTTTATCAGCTGTTTGGATTCTCATTCTGATGGCACCCATTCACTGCAGAGGATCCACTGGTGAAAAAAAAGCCACTTCAGATGAAGAAACAAACTCATCTACCTCTTGGATGGCCTGAGTGTCAGTACAGCAAGTTTTCATTTTTAGATGAACTGTTCCTTTTAGAGTCGTTGTAAAAATGGCTCAGACAAATGAAGCTTCTGAGAAAAGTTCAAGCAGCATTTGTACAAATGACAATTGCCTTGATAAATGTTTTATTTACTGCAATGACATTCAGAAAGTATTAAGTGTTCAAATGCTTTTTGGCCAATATATATTATACACACACTCACACAAATACATACAATAGAAGATCGGTTGTAAATTATGCTGCATATAAACTTTTAGACGTATTTTTTGTTTGTGCAAAGTGTCCTGGTCACTTTCAGCTGTTACACAGTAACTGTCTCTGTTGCTTTCTTTGTTTTGTGTGCTTTGGGTTAGAACATCTATATTCTGTTCCCTTTCAGTCGGTCATTCTCGACGTCATGTCGGATGACTGACGAAATTGGGATCTCGCTTAGAGAGTATTAGCCAATATGGTGTCTAAAACGTAAGTCTCTTGATATTAACTTATTGATTATTGAACTGTTGTATAAAATCAATATCACATTTGTAACCATGCTTTAAAAAAAAAAAAAAAACGACACTCTTCGTGTGATATTAACTGTATGAAATTAAATAAATATATACATTTTCTGCCCCCTTATCTTGAATTATGTGATCATTCTTAATGCATATTAATAGACTGAATCATGCAGTGAAAGAACCAGGAAAGAACGCACTCTAAATGTTCAGCACACTGAAAGAGCAATTTTCCATTCTAAAAGAGCTTCACGATTGGAACGTCTTTTTGAAGACGCGTCTATTTAAAGATGTCTTACCCCCCGTGTGTTTCTGGGTGCGGTCGTTACCTGGCACCGGGTGATGGTCACGATCGCTGCCTCTGCGGACTGGTCTCACGGTCACGGTGAGGAATTCCCCTCCTACAAGGAAGGGGATGCCCGAACCAACCAGCACTTCGAAGCCAGCGGAGCCCTCGAGAGAGCAGGCTGGATCCTCCCGGGGGATACCACCTGTTTCTTCCGAGGCCAGACTTTTCTGGGGATGAAGATCCGTCAGTGTTGCCGCCCTCTGAGCGGCCAGCGGTGCCGGATACAGACCCGGAAATGATGGCTATGCTTTCCCGGGCCGCCGAGAGAGTCGGGCTCGAGTGGAATCTTCCACCGCGTCCCGAACCCTCAAGGTTGGATGATTGGTTTCTCGGGGTGGCCCGCGCTGGTTCTCAGGGCCCCACCCCAGTGCCTTTGTTCCCGGAGGTGCATGATGAGATCACTGGGTCATGGATGGCACCTTTTACTGCCAGAAACTGCCCCGGTGGCTCATCCTCCCTCACTACCCTTGATGGGGGTCCAGCGAGGGGGTATACGGGAGTCCCCCAGGTGGAGCGGTCTGTTGCGATGCAATTGTGTCCAAATGCCGCTACCACTTGGCGGGGCAAACC